CTCCACTGATGATGATGTTTGAGTTTTCCCCTGCACTGTTGGCCTTAAAGTTCTCCAGCAAACTCAGCAACTGGTTGTATTGTTCCTTCGTCAGGTTCCGAAGATTTTGGTTATGGTTCCTACTATCAGCATCTCCACTGTTGCAAGCTTGCATCTCTTCACACTGACGATGGACATTGGCAGCAAATCCTATGTTTCTTCACTTTGTAAACTTGAAATCTTGTGGAAATCCATGTAGCCTATAGCACTTTTCTCTGGTGTGCCCTGGCTTTTTGCAGTAATCACAATACAATTTAGATCTATTAGGGAAAAATGTAGGTTTATAAGAGTTTTGTCCTGCAGTATTGCCTTGTGGAGTATAACTGATTTTGAATTTGTTGTTTCCCGATCCATTCATATTCAAAGAAGTGGATTCCATGACTAGGCGACTACTTGGCCTAACTTCTCTCTGTTTCTCCTCCTGAATGAGGATGGAAAATGCATGTGCGATGCTAGGCAGGGGATTTATCATTAGAAGGCTTCCCCTAATGACTGTGTAGACTTTATTGTGTCCCATTAGAAACTGAATTAACCTTCGATCTTGCTCTGCCTTGTGCATATTTGCTTTGGCACCACAGGTACATTGACAACCACATTGTGCGTGTGCATTCAAGGTATTGAGCTCCTCTTAGAGCTTCTTCATTTTTTGTGTAGTATCCAGTTATATCTAGGGTTCCTTGATTTAGGTCGTTGATTTTCTTTTGCCATTGGTAAAGTTTTGCCCCATTCGTTTGATCATACTTGTCCTAAAGCTCTTGCCATAACTCCTTTGCATCATTCACGTATTGTAGACTGTCAGTCAAATTCTTTGAGAGTGAGTTCAGAATCCACGATGTCACCATATCATCGCATCGTGCCCATTGATCGTAGATCGCTTCTCCAGCATTAGGTTTCTTACCCTTTCTTATGATGCACCCGACTTTGTTTTTTACAGAGAGAGCTCTAAGAACGCCTCTCCTCCAGGATCTATAGCCGGTGCCGTCAAATGCCATCGGTACCAGTACAGTCCCAACACTTTTCGATGGGGGCATGTATAGCGGGTTGGTCGAATCCAAAATTGTGGTGGTATTCTGAGTATCCTTGTCTCTAGCCATGGATTGAAGCATAAAATGTCAGAAATTCGAGTCAATTGACGATTGAGCGTGTGTGAACCAATGATTCCCAAACAAAATTACGAACTGAGAACTTCCGATTTGCGATTTCTAATCGGGTGAAAACAATGAAGAAAAGAAGAGAAGACGAATTAGATGTAGATCGAAAATTACGAGTTAAGCTCTGATACTATGTCGAAGTTGGAGATCAGAATCATCGAAGTATCTCCATTGATGAACCAAGCTGAGCTCTTGAGAGAAGGTTCTAGATGACAGAGGAATTGGGAAAATGAACTCTGTGTAATTTTCCTTTCTGTAAAGTGTATATATACACGTATGTAAGAGTGTAAGAGATAGAAAAATATCCTAATTATAAAACTGTCATTCTAACTAATACAATTACATTGACCAATATTGACTAATCAACTACACAACTAAGTCTACACAATTAATATACACATAAATATTACATCAACCATTCTCAATAGTGGTACAAGCTATAATCTTTTCTATATCAAAACAATCAAAGAGTAATATTATAAAGTCTTAACCGATTAGTATCACCGTATCATGTCTACTTGTAAGGAAGAAAATAGAATAATTTTGAGATAAATGGATCAACTATTCAATAATATCTGCAGAAAGAAGACTCATCTTAAATATTTTTAAAAAGTCGAAACCAAGTATTATTGATTTGTTTTAATACTTTTAAAGATATAGTAAAGCATAAATATATTTACAACTAGACCTGCCTATTTTGTCCCACCTTTTATGTCATCGATGTGAGATGTCAATTTGTATATCCCTCAAGATTCTTCTCCTTTTATTATATTAATTTAATTAATACAATACATTTTACTTCCCTATAAATAGCCCTCAATTGATCTTTTTTCATCATCAGTCTCACATTCAAAGCACTTTGGCCACCTTTGCTCCTTTTCATCTTTACCCTTTCTTCACATCTTAGTTTCAAGTTTATTTCTCCATTTCCAATGGCCAGTGTTGAGGTATATTTTCCTGGTTATTTATGCATTGATTATTCTTCATGTTTTTTTCAAATAAGAACGTAATGTTTATTTACTCTAAGGAAGATCAGCTAGCTAGCAATTCTTTTACAATACCTCTGTAATAATCTTGTTTGTTCCGATTTTTATTTTTTTTTAGTATAGTGAAGTGTTTTTATAGAAAACATATAAGAAAACTTAGCCGGTATAGTAAAAAATTGTTATAAAGTATGGCTTGTACAGAGATGTCTGACTATATAACAGATCGGTTAACCTTTAATCTTGGTATCAAGTTTAGTGGGGATTAATGATCATTGTTGTGAAAAAGAAAACAAGATAATAGATCATACTTGCACAAGGGGTTTTAAACCATTTCATAATGAAAATTAAACCTGGAGATTACATGTTTTTATTTTCTTTTTTCGGGCGAATTTTGTTAGAATATGTGTATTTAAATCGTCAAGAATTCAAAAAATACTATGTCAATTATCAATAGTACCTTGATTAATCAAATCTTGGCTTTCAAATTAAAAAAAAAGAGTAACCCCATTTCATCATTTTGGATTATTCATTCAATATGATCTTTAGTTTGATGATCAACCAACGACAGTGTGGCGAGGTTAGAAATTTTGATAAGGATATGCTGAAATTGCAAGAATGTTAATACCTACGATCCAAATTTGCAACTTAAAGCAATTTCTGAATCAGCTTTCTCACTACACTTCCTTATGTCAAAGGAATTCAACAATCTATGTATACAGTTAGTTCCTTTGTATATTATAATTTTTCGACAAAGCAGATTCAGTTTTCATTTGTACCATATAGCTCCGCCCCTGACCAATGATCTTACTTCAGAAATTGATAGCAATTTGCCTCTTACATATTCATTGAGATATTTCTTTCTTTCATTCTTTTTCTTTTTAATTGTTTTTGGTTATGAAGGTTCAATCTGCCCCATTAGAAGTAGTAGGAACTGCTCCAGTTGAGGTCGAGGTGAAAACTACACCAGAGGCACCCAAGGCAAACGAATCCGCCCCAACACATGTGGCGGAGGAAACTGTGACCGAAACAACACCAGCACCAGCAGAAGAGACTGTTCCAGTTGAAGAGAAAGCAGCCCCTGCTGTTGAGGATGCAGTAGCTGAAGAAGTAACGACAGAAGCAGAAGCAGAAGCAGAAGCTCCAGTGGCAGAGGAGACAGTGGCTGAAGAAGCTGCAAAACCAGAAACAGAAACACCTGCAGCTGAGGAAACAGTAGCTGCTGCTGAAGTTGAAACTCCAGCAGTAGAATTAGCTGAAGTGAAGACTGAGGCAGAAGAAGGAAAAGTTGATGAGACAACTGAAGCTCCAGCTGCAGCAGAGGCTACCACAGAAGTTCCAGTGGAGAAAACTGAAGAGTAAACTGATGCACTCTTTTTATAAGGAGTGAAAATGGATAGTGCAATGGTTGGTCAATTATGGGATGGTATTTGATGTTTTCATTTTCTAAGTTAAAGTTTATATATTTACTACTACTTTATTACTACTACTATTAGTATTATCACTACTACCTAGTTGGCTATGTTTGTGGGAATTCAGTTGTCAAGTTTTATGGTTGTAAGAGAAGATGAGAGGAGATCTGATCTCTGCTTTTGAATAATAAAGGATTACTATATCTTTTTCTCTGTTATGTGTCTTTAGAAAACAACTCGATTCAGGTTATCTAACAGTTTCGAGAATATTTTCTTAGCTAACTCGCAACCTTCTACCTTTGTACATTAGATTAACTATAATATACACAATCAAGGGAGCGGTGGAACAATTGAGATCCATCAGCCTTAATCGAAAGTCTCGGGTTTTAATCCTAAGAATAGAGAACATTTCTGCAGAGAAAGTTTTGCCCTCCTTGACGGACATAAGTTTCAGAAACCGGATGGTTAAACCTCCTCTCCCCCCTCCCTCCTTCGCCAAAAAATATTAATAAAAACTAGTATAATCACAAGTAAGTTAAGTTCGACTATATAAATTCTCACTTATGTCGCTCCAATTAAACTCAACCAGACCAATATTATTCAGAAAATAAGAAAATACAAATAAAAACTACAGACTGCCACATTTAGAAATTGATGCGAGACATGATCATATCATCTCAAGAACCTTTCGCTTTATCTTCCTTGTATGCTACTTGCACCTTTTACCGAACGTGGAAGTTTTTAATATTATTTTGTATGATTACACAACCATCTTGGCATTTGTATATCTGCAACACTCATCGATATGTTGGGTATTTTAGCAGCCCAAGAGCCTCCCTATATGTATCTATTAACATAACACTCCAGCAACACTTCCCTATTTCAACCATCCTATTTTAATTCGGTGCAATATCTACATCTATCGTACTATTCTCATGGAACATGGAGTATATGTCTCAATCCCACTAGCTTCGGGCTTTTCAATTCACAATCAATGTTGTATTACTGCCCAATCAATGAGTTTGATATGTACAACTTTTGCTCATTTTCACTAAAAGGTATTACCATTCTTCAGAAATTTTCCGAATGAGGGGCAGAAAGAATGCCACTAAGTTAGAGGGTATCTGGCATATCAGATACAAGTTGACGATTTCAACCATAACAGAAGTGAGATGCCGAACAAATCGCAGCTTGCAAGTCTGTAAGACTATAACTATCAGAAATATTGCACTGAATACAAATGGTACATTTGCTGCCTAACTAAAAGGAGAATACTAAAATACCAGCTCCAAAGGCATGCTCTTTTTAGCATGACAAAGATTGAAAGTAAGCTCTATTATTTACAAATATAAACACCCGCACGTGAGTAGAAATGAGTGAGGAAAGAAACTGAAACAGAGGCTAGGCCTAAGAAGTAAAAAAGGAAGAAATAGAATTAGAAATTAAAAGAAAAACTTGACCCTTCTTGCTTTCTTTATTAACAGATACTATACTTATATAAAGTTAATTGGGTTTGGGGGGTAACTAGAACTACAACCTTCCGCCATTTAAACCAGCCAAAAAAACCTTACCACAGTCAAGTTCCAAATGGGAGCATATCCTATACATATGTACAAGCTGATTACATATCTTATGTGCAGTTGATTTCAGGTCCCAGAAGATCACAGATGTCACCATGTACCAAAGCTGCAACCAACATGCTCCTGGGTTATAATGCGAAGTCGATCTTGCATGACATCCATGGATGGGTAAGGAGGAAAGCATAGACGGTAGAAGCATGTGTGTGACGAAGGCAGGCGATCATAAGACTCTCTGGTTTTGTAGATGTAAAGCCTAGAAGCCAAACCACCGAAACCCTCTACTGGAAGATACTTTATTGAAGTCCAAAAGAAGAGGAGAACCTTTCTCTGCTCGGCAGACATGCAACCAACAATCTGCAGGAACAAAAGAAAACAAACTTTAAATTGGATTGAATCAGATCTCATAAACCAAGGTTCATCCTCATAATANCATGGATGGGTAAGGAGGAAAGCATAGACGGTAGAAACATGTGTGTGACGAAGGCAGGCGATCATAAGACTCTCTGGTTTTGTAGATGTAAAGCCTAGAAGCCAAACCACCGAAACCCTCTACTGGAAGATACTTTATTGAAGTCCAAAAGAAGAGGAGAACCTTTCTCTGCTCGGCAGACATGCAACCAACAATCTGCAGGAACAAAAGAAAACAAACTTTAAATTGGATTGAATCAGATCTCATGAACCAAGGTTCATCCTCATAATATTCTAAGTGGTACCAACTAACAACCAAGTTCCAAAGTCCACCTTAGGAACAACTAGGTAATCCAGGACTTATATCCAATGACCACCAGATACCTGTTCGTTTGCTTTGTCCAACTCTGCCTTCTACATAAAAATTGCATTAATCCAAGGACTCAGACACACATACAAGTGGACAGCTTATTGCCTCACTAACATTCACACAAGTGAAACGCAAAGACACAAGACTACTACTCCCTCCGTTTCAAATTAGATGAGGTACTTTCCTTTTAGTCTGTTCCAAAATAAATGACACATTTCTAAATTTGAAAATAATTCAACTTTAAACTCTTCATTTTACCTATTTTACCCTTAATGAGAAGCTTTATAACCACACAAATGTCATGGCCCCAGAAAACTTTTACCCCCTTAAACTTTTAAGACCACAAGTTTCAAAAGTCTTTTTTTTCTTAAACTCCGTTCCGAGTCAAACTGTCTCATCTAAATGAAACAGAGTGAGTAAATACAAAAGAAGGGTGGCTCTAAATGGCATGGGTATGCTCAAACTTTAGATTTGTTGAAGCAGGACAAAGAAGACTTATCTTTTGGCACTGTTCAACTTGTTTAGCATTCTACTCAAACACCACTTTGCAGCTCTCAACCGAGAGATCCTTTCTTAAGTTACGTAGAATGAGAGATGAGGTGGAATAAAATCTCCATAGATGACTATAGAAGATCAAAAGGACTGCAAACTTCTCCAAACAGCACAACGGAACAAACCTTTTTATAGTTGCTTTTGCAGATAAATTGCTATACAGAATCAAAGTATTTTTTTAACCTGCAAGATGCTCTTCACAGAAACCAATGGTTCTTCATTGTTGATTCTTAGTCCACCTAAGAATGTGGAGAAATGTGTGAGCCAAGGGCAGCAACATGCCCATAGCCTAAAATTAGCCTCTAAATTTGGTCACCCCTGACCTTCAGGAAAAAAGAAAAAGATAACCAATTCTATAAAGTAATTACTTCTCTCTTCTATCTATCCAAGCATTGAGCGATCACAGAAGACTTCCTCTTTTCTTTTTCCTCTAAAAGAAGACTTCCTTTCAACACTGGCCAATTCGATTATTTCTTTTCATGAATTTTGCTCCTTTATCTTCTCTTCGAAGTATCATCTGTTGTTTAGAAACTTTGTCAAGTATATGTGTGTGTGTGCGTGTGTGTGTGTATATATATATATATATATATATATATATATATAATTTTATTTTGCCAAGTATAATAATCATGTCTAGTCCTGTTGTCCTCCTTTTGTTGGTATAGTGGTGATCGTCAGCTCTCTCGAGTAGACTAGCCATTCAAAACTTTCTTTGGCACCTCCAATGAGTTACGCTCTCTACATGAGCCACGGAAGAATATTAATCCCAAACTAGTCCAGTTGGCTATATGAATCTTCTGTAATCCTTCGTTCACTTTAGGCTATAGAAATATAAAGTCCTTCAGAAGTTTCAACTTCCAACCCCCCTACCCAACCAAAAAAGGAAAAAGAACAAGACAATATCCTCATTCTCAAAATGAAGATAATGTCCTTATGACTAAAAAATCCTTAAAACAGAGTAAGAAACACAAGGACCTTCAAAACTTTCTTAGGCACCTCCAACCAGTTACAGTCTCCACAAGGGTTGAGGAAGATTATTAACTCCAAACTATACTGGGGTGGCTATATGAATCTTCTGTTACCATTCCTTCCACTTCAGGCTATAGAAGGTTATAGGCAGAATAAATATTCTTAATGGAGCTAACAAATTGTACTATTCACATTTACTTGATGCCATTAACGATATCACTTCATCAAAAAATAAAATATATTCTTCATCACAGGAGGAAAGGGGGGGGGGGGGGGTGAGGAAGGGGTAAGGCAAAGAAAAGGTAAAATAAATGTTGCAATGAGCAAACAATCTGTCACTTGCACTCTCTTGCATGGGTTATCTTATTGCAAACTCAAAATTCAAACCAACCAAACGGACCCACGGTTCCGGTTGAAAGCATCTTAACAACAACAAACCCAGTGTATTCCCACAACTGGGGTCTGGAAAGGGTAGTGTGTACGCAGACCTTACCCCTAACTTTAAAAAGGAAGAGAGATTGTTTCCGGTAGACCCTTGGCTCAGGGAAGATAAAGGGAAGGGCCAATGACAAGCAAACCAATCGGAAAATCAAGCTAAAACACACAACTATCACTAGTTAGTACAATTAAAACCGAAGCGACGGCAACCACAAGTAATAACAGAACTCCAGAAGGCGATAATACAAAAAGACACTAAGTAGTGTACTAAATCTATTGTAACAAAACAAAGACAAAGCTCGACTGTACTAAATCTATTGTAACAAAACAAAGACAAAGCTCGACTACCTAACCCTCTACCCTAATTCTCAACCTCCACACCTTCCTATCCATGGTCATGTCCTCAGTAAGCTGGAGCAACGCCATATCTTTCCTAATTACCTCTCCCCAATACTTCTTCGGCCGACCTCTACCTCTCCGTTGGTCCTCCAAGACCAACCCCTTACACCTCCCCACCGGTGCATCTGTGCCTCTTCTCTTCACATGTCCGAACCATCTTAGTCTTGCTTCCTGCATCTTGTCCTCCACAGAGGCCACGCGCCCACCTTGTCCCGAATAACTTCATTTCTAATTCTATCTAGCCTGGTATGCCCACACATCCATCTCAGCATCCTCATCTCAGCCACCTTCATCTTCTGGACATGAGAGTTCTTGACTGGCCATCACTCCGCTCATACAACATAGTTGAAAGCATCTTAAGCTCGAGGAATATGGAAATCTAAGAAATGCATCAACAAAGTTCTTTTCATTGCTATAGTGCCAGATCATAGAATGGAAGCAGCTTGGGGACAACATGGTTGGAACATCAATTTTAGAAGAGGTCTGCATGATTGGGAGCTTGGGAGAATTGTCGAGTTTTTCACAACTTTGGAAGCTTTCCAAGGTCTTAAAGAACATGAAGATTCTCTTATCTGGAACAATGGTAAGAATGGGATGTATACTGTCAAAGCAGCTTATCTTTTGTTATCAAACACTGGTCGTCAAATAGATGCTTGGCCATGGAAGAGTATCTGGAAAGTTAAAGCTCCTTATAAGGTGATTTGTTTCACATAGCTGGTAGCAAGAGAAGCATGCTTAACTCAAGAGAACATGAAAAGGAAGGAATTCCAACTTTGCTCTAGATGTCTTTTATGTGGCAGGGAATTGGAAACGTACAACCACTTATTCCTTCACTGCCCTATTACAAGTCAACTGTGGCAATTGTTCCTTAACATTGTTGGGCTAAGATGGTCTATGCCAGCTACTACTGTTGAGTTGCTAAAATCTTGGAACAACACTGGAGACGACATGGTGGAGACTGATACATGCATGCATATGGTGGACAGTATGGAAGAAGAGAAACTCAAGAGTTTTTGAAGACAGATACAAATCCGTTCAGGATGTCAAGATGGATTGTATTCTTCTATTTCATTTTTGGTGTAAAGAAAGTCTTTTAGAGGATACAGAATCTCTGGTAGACATGTTAGGCTTTTTGTAATTAGGTAGACCAAGATTGATCTACTATTCCCTGCACATATGGTTATGCACTGCCTTAGTGCATTTTTTATTTATACAAATGTTACCATTCTCAAAAAAAAAAAGTTCTTTTCAAAAGGAAATTTCCAGTTGATACTAAGGATCAACAACAATTATGTATGGAACTGTTTCTTCTTTTTCCACTACCTTCTCATACTCTGGCATCAAGGACAAATAAAAGGGTATCAAGATAGGGAATATCGTAGTGCTTAGAAATCATAACTTAACCGTACTTTATCATGTAAATATCGAGAACTCCTCTAGATTGCCCAAATTGGACATATCTCTCCTTTAATATTAAAATTACAGGAAAACAACTAAGCTTGTAGTTTTGTTACACACACCTCTGACCTCTCTATGAGAAATTCAAAAATTAGCTAAAAGCTGTTGATATTACACGAAAATGTGAATTTACACCAACAATACCCTTCTAGAAACTAAAACTGTTTTTTCTTTTTCAAGCATCTCTAATTAAAGCTTAATCATATATTATTTTCAACATATCCTGACCTGACCTGACCTTAAATTAAAAGGAAAAAAGAAATTAATGGAAGTACCTTTTTTTACATAAGTGGAGACATAACAGCTTGTATTCTCTATATTAACTCAAAGATTTGCACATTCAAAATTAAGTTTATCTGGGTATATAGGTACCCATCACTTTTTGTATAGTATTAAGTTTTAAGATGGACTAATTTGTTTCGAAGTTAGGTCTTTCTTGCTCTTTTTCCTAGCCTATAATTTCTTCTTCATAAAGCACAAAGGACACACAGGTCACAACATATTCATTTGCACACTTGTGAATTGAAGGGTCTAACAAGGGTGCCACATAATTTCACAAAGACCTTAGGTATCTGTAACTTAAGCGGGTCTAGCAAGGGTGTCCCTGTATCTTACCCTAACAATAAAGTAATAACAAAAGCAAATATGAACAGCTGCAGTTTCAAGAGAAAAAATATAGCGAAATGAATAGGCATACAGGTGAAACGGACTCTTCCTTAAGGTTTCTCCTTCAACAGTGTCCGTTGGATTCAGAATCTCTCTAAAAAAAAAGACATTTACTATTAGGAAGGTAGAGTTTTTTGGAAAAGAAAATTAAGCTGACAACCCTCCCTCCTCCAATAAATAAATAAATAAATAAGGGAAAAAGAGAAAAGGTAGAAGAAAATATAGGTTTTGCCTGGAGCGATACCCTTGTAAACAATCAAGCTTCTGCACTGAATATTAACAGAACAAAGAAGAACATGAAAAAAAAGAATGAAGTCTTCAATAACGGAAATATATCAATATGAATCAAAAAGAAGAAGAAGAAATACCTTCCAAAACCAAGATATTTGAGGATCACTTTCTTTGTAGCCATTGTAATCAGTATGTGCTTTCCAGTCTTCCACAGAAACAGCAGTTTCGCTCCCATGGAGCATCCAGTCAAGATCTTCAAGATCTAAGCTCTGGAAAAAGGATTTCTGGAGCCTTAAGGTAGTTATAATGTCCGCAAAACCTTGAGCAAAATGAGCTACCTGCTCAGCAATGGATGTGACAAAGCGATGCTGAATAAGAAGCTCAACATACTGCTCCCTGTTTTTACTAGTCACCATAGTACTTCTCCCATTGGGGCAAAGCTCGACAACCTTCCTGGATCCTAACTCTTCAACTTCACGAACAAATGTCAAAGCAAGAGTATCTTGATCCACCATCTCTGGATCCATCTCCAATATCTGCTTGCAGCTGCTATACAAGTATGGATCTGCATCCCTTATGTCATCTAATGAAATATTCTTGCCCGACAATTGTAAAAAGAACACGCGATCAAAAACAACACCAACTTGTATTTTATGCATTAAGGCCAAAGCAATTACCCTGCCAGAGAAGCTAAAATACTCAAGGTGCAAAGGGTCCACCTTAGATGCTGCAATAAAAATATGTAGTAAGAAGATAAGGTCCCAATAACAAGAGCATTACTATCGTCTTGCAAAATAAAAACATTGCTCCAAACAGAACCTAGCTATTAAATGCACTGCAGGTTCATCCAAATAAATGGAAACACTCACTATTAACGAAAATATTCAGCTTGTCTAACCAGTAATCACACATCTTGAACAGAAAAAAAATGATACTATGCCTTGGAAGTACTCCATATGCAGTGCAACCCAAAATAAGGATCAGTATGGTCATCTCACACAATTTTCCAGCTTCGTGTGAGAAAGCTGAAAATTGTCATTTGGTGACTGTCAGTCTGTCTCTCCTTTTTTTTGATAACCAAGAAATCGCCGAGGCCAGTGGTGCTCGATTCGAACACTGTGCATAATGGGCCCACATCTCTACCCTACTCCACTTAACTACCAGGCCTTGTCTGCAGTAGGGTTCAAACTCGTGAGGTGTGTCCAATCCACATATTACGTGTTGCGCTCTTACCACTAAACCAAAGCCTTGGGGGGGTCTAATACTCCCATTCAAATGGTTACATTCATATAGTATTGATGTTGGGCATATTTTCATATGTTTTGATATTATTTACTCTACATTTTTACCGCTTTTTAATTGTATTTTATGTTGTATATGCCCGACTTCGCTTGATTATGAAGTTTTATACTTAAGTGTATGTTAATAAATAATGTAGGTACTTTGGAGATAAAATTTGGAGCAGAATACATTAACACTCGAAGAGAATGAAGGTCTAAGACAAAACAAGGGAAGATAATAGCTAAGTGGCATATGTGCATTACGTGGAATGAGATAAAAGTACGTGAGGAAAGAGAAGTTTGGTTGCTGGATTCCAAAGAAGCATGAAGAAGCAACTGAGAACGTGGTGTTTCTTCAAAGACACCAAATTTCTACCTCACTCTTACATATATAAGTAATTTGTGGACTGACGAAGGACTTGGTGGATATTCCTACAGGACGTTCATTTGATGTTACAAATTTAATAACAATGTTTCCGATGTATCTCTTCTCCAACAAAAAGACAATAGATTTCTCTGTGTTTTTTCCTTTCATGGAACGTCAAACTTGATGCAATATAGAGTGCAACTTGATTATCACACAATATGGGTTGGGGATGAATGCTTTAAAAATAAATTTACTACTCTATTCAATTGCTCAACAAATAAGAATGGTACTGTTGCTGATTTTCATTCTAGTTCTGGTTGGAGATTGTCTTCCGAAGGAATTTGAATGACTGGGAAATAGTAGAATTTTGCGAGATGCTTCAGCAATTGAGATCAGTTTATATTGATCATAGTAAGATGGATACTCTAATCTGGCTGGCAAGTAAAGACAAGAAATTTTCAGTCAAGAATTGCTACAGTATGTTGATAAAGCAGTCAGGACAGTGGGATACTTCTTGGCCATGGAGGATGATATGGAAGACAAAAGATCCTGTGAAAGTAGCATGTTTTGGATGGGTCGCCACCTGGGAGGCATGCTTAACTCAAAATAACTTGCAGAAGAGAGGTTTTTCCCAACGTAACAGATGCTACCTGTGTCAAGAGGATCAAGAAACAGTTGAACATTTGTTCCTCCATTGCAGATTTTCTAGAGAATGCTGGGTTATTCTTAAATATTTGTGGTATTGCATGGGTGATGCCTCAGAACGTGAAGGGGTTGATGGTAGGTTGGCAGCATCAGGTGATATCAAAAGAGATAAAGCAAATATGGAGAACTATCCCGTTGTGCATCTTATGGACAATATGGCTCGAAAGGAACAAGGCTTGCTTTGAAGGACAGAGAACTACAATTGCTAGAATTAAGAGTATTTGTTTACAAAATTTGCATCTTTGGTGCAAATCAAGCCCACTAGTTAGTTCAGATCAGTACAAGGATTTCTTGGAGTTGTTAGGAAGAAGATTGTAGTAGGCTGTTTTTTGTTTCCTTGTTATCTTCTGAACCATCTTGGTACCATTCAATAAAATCTTTATCTTATCCAAAAATATATATACTCCCTTCGTTCCAATTTATGTGAACCTGTTTGACTGGGCACGGGGTTTAAGAAAAAATGAAGACTTTTGTAATTTGTGGTCCTAAACAAGTCAAAAAGGGGTCCGGGGTATTTTTGTGGTTATAAAAGCTTCTCATTAAGGGTAGAATTGGAAGTTTAAGCTAAATTGTTTCCAAATTTAGAAAGGATCATTCTTTTTGGAACGGACCAAAAAGGAAATAGGTTCACATAAACTGGAACGGAGGGAGTATATAACTTCACAAGTTGTCACCACCATGGCTCAATATTCTACTCTATCCTAGAGGCTAGAGCTAACAACCATAGTATTTTATTTCTTTTTCTTCAAAGACACCAAATTTCTAACCGAAACACAACATCCAACTGAATGTCTATAAAAATGTGAACGTGTCAATCTTCTGTAGAAGCCTTCTATCCTAGAGATGTTTAAGAACTATCACAATCTATCTAGGTTCTTAGACTAAAAGTGCTGATAGAGATGTTTCAACTTAACATTAACCTCTTGATTAATACTATTGCATGCCATAACTATATCATCAATATAAATTACCAAAGCAAATACACGGATTCCGAGCAGGGTACCAATTGAGCAGAAAAATAAAGAGATGAGTTGTGTTACTTTTGCATAATTGTGCTAAACATACAAAACCATACTCGAATAGACTGGTTCAGTCCATATAGTGATTGACAAAACTTGTATACAAAACCATAGATTCCCACTGAGCAACAAAACCCGGTAGTTGCTCCAGGAATACTTCATCCTTAAGATTTCATGAAAAAATGCATACTTGATGTCCAAACAATGAAGAGGCCAATGAAAAACAGAATGCATAAACAATATGAGACTGATCAAAGTAATCTTAGCCCCGAGAAAACATACCAACTCAAGTTCAAAAATCAAAGTACAGCAAATGTACCTTAAGCAAATAAATCTGAGCATTTGGACCAACTATTATTGTGAACACCAATCAACAACCAACAACATTTTCACTAGGGGTAGAGAAACAACTCTCGAGTACCATTAGAGTATAAAGCAAACATCTTCTCATTTACAGCCTATTACCAACCTGGATGAGAAGCTTCACCTATAGGCTCAAGGATGGGAATAGAGGAGAAGGACTATACAAACATAAAAAGGGATAACAACAAATATTGATAACTCAAAAAGATACGATGAGATGATGATTACAAGTAAAGCGAATACTTAATAGCCCTTGAAACTAGAGGAGACAGGTTTGCAATAAGAGAAGAATCTGAATCAGGATGTGTCGGAGGCAGGTAGTTTTTATATAAAAAGGACTAAATCAACTATGGCGGTTTGCTTACACCAAATGACCAAATGAAACAAGTGAAGAAATTTGCTTTTTTCTATTTTTCGGTTGTCATTTGGAATGCAAATTCAATTCATTCAATCCGCTAGAGCTACGGATAACGATGTCAAATACAAACAAAGTATCCACCATGCCACGTCAACAAAGTCTCAAATTTTATTGTATTTTCAGCATATAAAACTTTGAAGTCAAATACTAACAAAAGGTTTAAATTTGCGAGTTCATATAGAACAAAATGCCAAAGAAATAATAACAAAGGCAAGAAAAGCTTACTTGGATTTGGAAAAAACCTTCTACGGTCATTTGGGCAAGCAACAAACAGAGCATTTTGAGGGTTGAAGATTGCTTGACATACCAAGAAAAACCACTCCCTTAAGACACCAGGCCCCGTAGCTTCTTCATTCTTGAATTCCATAAATAAGCCACCACGGAGTGACTCAGGATCTGCATGTGCAATGTACTCAAAAGATTCTGATAGCAACTGTGAGCGGTCAATGAGCATCTCATGAAGCTCCTCGTACTCGTCCTTCACTTCTGGAAGCATCATCATGGCCAAATGCCTCCTCGCCTCAAAATTAGTTACTTCCTTGTGCTCCAGTATCCACCGATGATCTTCAGATCTTTTAGCAAATTTAACAATCAGAAAACACAACGAAACCCTTCTTTGAATTATTTTTTTCCAAAACTCGTCCTCCGAGCCCTTAAAAAGCTTTGAAATACCATTTATCTCCTTCAGAATTGCAAGATACTGAGACCACCCAAGTGCGAAGGGCTCACCTTCTCCTTTCTCTTTCCCAACAAAATGTTCTTCCATTTTCTTCAAACACAGCTCCAGTTTCTCCAGCAAATCAAAGTAAATATCATGCAAACATTTAATCTGCTCTCTGTAATACGGCATTCCATATCTTTTGCTTCCCCCTTCACTGGTGCCGCATTCCTCCTGCAACGGGAAAGCGATCGGACTACAAATAGCTACATGATCCCCTATCACATTCCTGACAGGACGCATAAACGCAGTAAAATCACGCACATCATTCAAAGATGGCCCCATAAAGGCGTTCAATGATTCCATACTCGGATCCAAAGCACGTGATAACTTAACCCCTAGCTCGCGGACGAACGGGAAAATATCTACCAATGCTATCACATCCTTACCATTACTCTCCCACCTCGAAATCCCAACGGACTCTACTATACCCCCTAAACTACTCCGACAAAGGCCATACAACGAATCATCAACACCAGCAGCTCCACTTAACAACTTACAAAATTCTAACACTATAGGCGCACATTGCATATATATAGGTTTAGGCAAAACAGTCTTACTCGAATTAACAAACTGACGAATCGATTCATCAGCAGTATCTTTGTTTACCTTCGCTTGAGACATGTAAAGCATTACGAGAGCTGCGGGAGCACACGAGGAGAGGAAAATCTGGAGGTGTTCGGCGGCTTGTTCAGCGTCGTTACGTGGCGTCATCGTGAGAAACTCCGTGAGCCTCGTCTTTATACGACTCGAAGGCCTAGGGTTTTGGCCTTTGCAGAGGTCGAAAATTTGAGAAACCAAGTCGTTGATCAGCTGCCACGCTTGCGGATGTCCCGTGCTCCGCATTCGGCCGACGAGTTGTAATCCGGCGTCGTTTTGGACCTCGCATTCGACTAGCGTTTGCTCCCACTGTAACTGTTTCCCCCTGTATATTAATCGCTGCTCGATTATCGGTATTCCCGTTATGAATTGAATTTTTTCGTGAACTGATTTCACTGAGTCAGTTGACTCGGTTTGAAGCACTAAAGTGTTGCCGCCGGATAATAACCGGACGAAGAACTGAAGACGGCCGGAGGATGACGCCAGCGAAGATGAGGACGGCGTCATCGATGATGACGATGAAGATGAAGGCGTCGAGGATGAAGACGGAGAGTGATGACGTGGACGGGAATCATCGGTGAAGGAAGTAAGGGTAAATTGGTCTTTTCTCATCCTGACGGCGGAGGGTGGTGGTACTAAGTCGTCAGAGGCATAATCGTCGAGCTTCCGTTTGGGGTTGTTAACGGCGCCGGCGTTAGACGTCATTGGAAGTCGGGGGGTTTTACGGTACACATGAGTCCATCGAATTAAAACCCCATCACCAAAACCCTTAATTTTTTTTTCCTTCAACAAAATTCAAACAAGGAATTTGAGAAAGGAAAAAAAAACAAGAAGAGAGCGAAAGAGTTATAAGACTGTGTGTTTGAAAAGGTCGTGAGAGTAGAGAATGAGGAAATTGGGAAAGAAATGAAGGTTTTGTTTACGCTAAGTAGTGTGCAATGACGAAAATGGGTTTCCCGCGAGCTACATGCTTTTTCAGTTACTACTGATACTTTATTCTAAAGAGGAGAACATTATTATGTATCCATGCACATAAATATCTTCTTTATTTTATTAGAAAAAAAGAAAAAAAAGAAAAAGAGGGATAAGAAAGGGTGAGTTATTATCTGATACACAAACTATTTTGCGTCCCCGTAGGAGCGAAGAAAGATCGTATTCCTAGAATGTGATATAAGCAGTTTATCCTAATATAATTATACAAGCATTAGTTACTGATTTTACAGTTCGGATACGTGGAGATAATTTTACGTTATTTAACTGAGTACCCTTTTGTAAACTAAAGACAAAATAGAAGAATTTGTAGTACAATAAAAATTTATTGGCAACCAATGTTTACACATAATCGATGAATATAAAATAAGTGTCTTTATAAAGAATCTGCACAAATTACTATAATCCATAGTTATTTTTAAAATATCATAGTCAAACTAAAATGTTTGACTTAACAAATAGTAATAGTCAAATTCTTTTTTTTTGGTTGAAAATTGTGCTTTTTATTTCTCAATTATTGGAGATTTAGAATTTAGTTTTGTGATATTTAGCTAAGTATATTCAACCTTCAATTAATTGGATGTGTTTTGTATTTTCGCACGTGAATCCTCACAAATATAACGAATTATATAAACCAATTAATTATCAATGTGTTATGTTAAATTTGCTTTATATTTGAAGGTAATATAATTCTAAAAGTACTTTGTTTATAACATGGTTCCTATCAAGAAGGAGTGCAATTGTCTCTTATTTTTGGACGATTGAGCTATTTTGAAATTAGAAACAAGATTTCTCAAAATTTGTAATATATGAATTTAAAGATCATAATAATATGTAAATTTAGGTTTAATATATTTATTGTATAAGTTGTGCGAAACTTTGAGATTTGGTTTTTAATTAGTGATTATTCATATTTAGTAACTTGTTCATTAAGTTACTGTATCAATTTTTGTAATAAAATCTGATACTACTAATTCTGGATTTGCTATCTTGACCATCACGTAATTTCATTGAATTAAAAATTCCTTTTTACAGAAGAGAATGTGTACAAGCAGCTAAAAGGGTGAATTCAGTGCTGCGTATTAGCAAGTCAGGTTTTATACTTACTAAAATATTAAAGCCAACCTCTAAAGGCTGTTGACTTGTTCACATAGCGTGTGAATTAGGGGCTTTTGAAACTTTCTACCGACGTACAATAACACACACTAAAGTATTACGTTTTGAAGGAGGAAAAAACTCACACTTGATAAATGAACCAAAAAGAAAAAAAGAGAGAATAAAGCATGACACATATCCTTCCCTTTTTACACAAGCCTTTTTTTTCTTTTCTTTCGGTGTCCGATAAAATTCAGATTCGCGCCAAACAGGGGCAGAGAGAGAGTATTGCTAATGGGACCGCTCCCTAATAAAGACGGCTATATACCAGAGCTCGAACTCGAGACATCTGGTTAAGGACGAAAGAATATTTGCCGCTCCACCACAATCCTTATTGGTCACACAAGCTTCAACTTACATAGATAAGGTATATATGTTGTTTTTTATGATCTTGTTCGGATTAATTTACATTCATCTCAACTAATTTATCAAATATTTGATATTTCTATCAACACATGTACAAGTAAATTCACCAATCAAGACTTAAACTATCGAAAATAAAATTACTTTTTTTCGCTTCTGAAATTTGAACTCTAATGTCCTATTGTCGTAATCATTAAACGACATCCCAATTAATTAATTGGATGTAAATAATATATATATATCTTGTGTAAATGATTTAAAATTCACAATAATGAGTCATGGTTCTGGAAAAAAATCAGCGGAAGCTTTTATTTTAAAAGGTAAAATGGAATGCTAGATGATTAGTGAACTTCTATATGTGAATACTGAAAACATTGCAGTTTTTTATTTTTCTTGGTACTGGAGACTGATCTAAAATTTAATGAAAGCCAATCCATTTTTGTTAAAAGAAATGCTATATCAGCTTAGAACTCTAGAGTTACTACTAGAATTAACTGAAAGATAAAAACATAGTAACAGGGGAAAAAAAGAGAAAAAGAGAGTTAAATTTGGTACTGTATTTCCTTTTTGCTATTGTAGGGATTTTGTCTTCTTTTGAGCCGAAAATCGGAAAGAAAATAGAGATAAAATTTGCGTACATATTATTCTTGTCCAGACCCTACCGGTGAAATTATGGTGGGATTGTTATTGTTGTTGGCAAAAAACTAAAACTGTAAAAGTTTCCCCGATTATTTGAAGATATTGCTATTGGCACCCCAAATTTACTTACCTTTTAAGCAATTGAATCCTCAACTGAGCTGGTGTTGCACTTCGCACCTAACAAATTAACAATTATACTTGCTTTTTGAACTCTAGCTTTTAAAAGTATCTTTTTGTTCAAATGCATTTCTTCCTTAGACGCGATATAGATGACGATTTTGCATGTAAGCTACTTACCATTGTGACTATCCGTAAACCACAGGCTCTGCACTGTTTTACATGTATGTTAATTTGAGAGCATTTATGTATCACTAAAGAACTTGGTTCGTTACCTTACTGCTTAAGTGTAAGTAAAAATAAGCAGTAAAGTAAACACAATAATTTTTACGTGAAAAATCACCCGACTCAAAAGGTACAAAAACCACGACCTATCACATAGGATTTTAGCTTCAACTTCACTAGAACAATGAGCCAAATGTATCGATTACAAATTTGTAACTCAATACTCTCCAGTTCTCCTACTTCAACTATTTGACTTACAAGTTACTCTAATTTGCGAAATCAAATACTCACTACAACTCACTGATTGTATATGACACTTTGATTACAACCCGATTTCCTAAAACACATTTACTAGACTGACTCAAGAAGGACACAAATATTGGTACTCGACTTGAGTATAGAAAATGTAGTTCTTCAGTTGATGTACAAAAAGATGATCTCAACAGTCCAAAAAGATAGTATTTAAACTCCCTGGACTCCGAGATCTTTTAGGAGTCCTATGCGTAGTCAACTTCTAGTTTGATAGGACTCTTACTGCTCCAAGGACTCCACAATTCTTGAAATTTTTGTCTCTCACTTGTACGAGCATATCTTCTTGGACAACGACTCTTATCACATTTAGCAGTCCTCTTCCAATGAGCTCGCACTTCAGTAAATTTGTGATAAAGTTACTGTCTTGTAGGAATGTGCAATCATCAACCTTGAGGACATGGTTCTTAGAACAGTTAAGCAGCTACGTTGAGGACCTGGTTCTTAGAGCATTTCCTCTGAACAAACTTTGTTAATCATCAAAACCTCAATACTCAACAAATTTCCCATTTTTGATGATGACAAACTTTGTGCACATAAATGAGGTAATCACCTAATAACTCAGCCACCCAAAGTAGGTACAACAAGCACACAAATAGGCACATCAACACCAACCCTAACTCTATCTTGCCCCTTTTGGCATCATAAAAAAAATGTTGGACAAACTAAGCACAGTTAATGCAAGATTCATGGCCATTTAGGTTACAACACAAGCTCAAGAATTATCAAAGCAAATAAACTAAGCTGATTATATAACCATGTGCGAAGCAGTAAAACAACATAAGAGTATTTATTTAGCAGTGCTAAATTAAGCCCAAGGCCTTGACATAAAACATTAAAGCAAAATAAACTAAAACATCCTGCAACCTACTTAGAACTAGAATAAAATAAAAAGAACTAAAGCACCACTGGGTTAACAAAAAAAATCTTAAGACATGGGTTGAAGGACCAGGGTCAATGGTGAGAGGATGAGGGGGTCAAGGCTTTCACAAGGGTGGAAATCTGTTGGGCATGGGCTTATCTATCCCTTCTGAGCTCCTCCCTAAGCTGTGTGGTTTCTTTTCTCAACTCCTCATTGTCTTCTCTAAGCTTGAAATTCTCCTCAAGAGCTAACTCCAATCATTTAAAGACCTCTGCTGCCCTGTTGCTACCAGTAGAATAGCAGAACCTGTTGGTCCCCTAGCCTTGATCTCCGCATAGCCACACTACTTGAGGGTAACAACATCCATAACATCATTGTGATTTCCAAACTTCAGCTCAGGCAAGGCAATATTGAGCTTGTCAAATAGCTTAGTTAACATGAAGCCATAAGGCATAGCATGCTTAGGTTTGGAAGTGTCTGCATCCCTTGACATATGCTGAATCATCAGGCTAGGGAGATTGATAGCTTTACCAGTATCAAGTAGTTTCATCACAGCCATGTCAAGCTGTCATGACCCCATTTTCCCTCCATAGAATGTCGTGATGGCACTTAGTCTCCAAGACTAGGTAAGCCTAACAATTTACGGAATAACTTAATAACAATAGGAACTCAAATCTCAACACATGATATATATATATATATATAATCTGCATTTTAAATAATTACAACTCCCAAAACCTAGTAGAAATAAGTCACAAGCTTCTAAGAGAAATACTATGCGTCTCTATACATCAGAGTCTAAAGAGAATAAGGAAAATAATATAACAAGAATAGAGGGGGACTCCGAGGTCTGCGGACGCTGGCAGATGTAACTTGAAGTCTCCGCGTACAGGCTAGTTCACTGATACCTGATCTGGTAGGAAGTACCTGGATCTGCACAAAAAGATGTGCAGAAGCATAGTATGAGTACATCATAACGGTACCTAGTAAGTGCCAAACCTAACCTCGGTAGAGTAGTGACGAGGTCAGATCAGGCCCTACTGGAAATAATAGGAAAATAAGGCAGCAGATATAATAATAAAATGAAACGATTGAGAATTTAACAACGAGAAATTTCAGAAAAATAATAACATAGCAAATAGAGGTAAACAACAGGGGCGCTCCCGAGGTACTGCCTCGTAGTCCCAAAAGTAAGTATGCAATAGCAGGGGGGATCTCTCGAGGAACCGCCTCGTAGTCCCAAAG